CAAAAACCAAAAACAACTTGCTCAGCCTACTATTGCCACAACCTACTTAGAGGAGGTAGTGTGGTGTCATGGATAGGGCATCAGGAAGACCTGGATTTGAGATTCTGACTGGCCCCAGGCAAGTCCCTTCACTGGAGATTGTTTCCTCAACTGTAAAATGGGGTAAGATTAGTACCTATCTCACAAGGGTTGTTAGGAACAAATGAAATGATTTATAAAAGTGCTTTGCAAACCTTAAAGTACCATGGAAATGTCAGGTATTGTTACTTGTTTGTAATTGTTTTAAAAATATTAATTTCCACTAAAGTCCTATTCAAATGCTACATCATGACTTAGATGTGACCCCTCCCCCCAAATTCTCAAAAGCTTTGCTAACAAGTTGTGCCGTGTTCTACACCACCTCAGAAATTAATATGGTTCTGTTAGATTCCAAGGAATTCCTTTCAAGCAGACAAGACAGGGCTATTCTATTTTTAATGGACAATTAAAGCAGAGGAGACCAAATATTGACCAATGTCAGTGATCCATTAAGTAGTAACACAGGCTTTCTGTACCCTCATGTACTTTAGGCAGCAGATATCTTATTTGCAACTTGTGTCTTATTTCAGGTACTAAAAAACAGAAAGACCTCGTAATAGGTGGAACAGCTGCCCTGTGGGGAGAGTACGTGGACGCCACTAATCTCACTCCCAGATTATGGTATGGGATAACTTCAGTACCATTTGGTTTAAGTAGTTAAATCTAAATGTGGTCAAATGCAAGTTTAGAATTAAAGACTAAACAATTACCTGAGATAATAGAGGTGTTTGTTTATCCCTAAATTGATGCAGGAATAGCACTACCTAGACCTACCTTATTTAGAAGCATTAAGTGGCTAATTTGCTTGGGGATGTGTATTGTAGGCCTAGAGCAAGTGCTGTAGCAGAGCGACTTTGGAGCCCCAAAAATGTCCGTAACCTGGATGACGCTTATGACAGACTGGCAGAACATCGCTGCCGCATGGTCAGGTAAGCCTCTGGTATTACCGGACTGGGATATTGAAGTTAGGTGTGAGAGATGGGACACACTTACCACCTAAAGTAGAAATGAAGGACACTCTGAAAATATGGACTTTAATTTAGAGATAGGAGTTGTTATTTATTATTGAAAAGAGTCTGGAACATTGAAGTATGACTAGCCTTTTTTGCTTAAAAGCATCATTTGTTAAATGCCTAAAACATTTAGTACTTTATTTCATCATTTGGGGTGAGGCAAGAGGGCGAAGAATCCCTCTAATTTTTAAGCAGTTTCTATTTTGAGTCTGTTATTAAAATACAGTCGAGAGTACAGGCTCTTGAGTCAGAAGACCTGGGTTCGAATTTCACCTGTAATGCTTACTCTTTGTGTGACCCTGGTCAAGTCACTTAACTTTCTGCACCTCAGTTTCAACTGTAAAATTAGGGAGCCTGGACTAAATGGCCTCTGAGACCCATTTCCATGTCTACATCTGTGAGGGCTTCACTTCCCTTATCTGTAAAATGAGAGAGTGGTACTAGATGGCCTGAGGTCACTTTCAGATTGATCCCATGACCAGTTATTCAAGAATTAACACTGAAGGTTACCACTAACACTCAAGGTTAACACTAGAATATTTGTATTATCCCTTTTTTTTCTAGTACCTTTTATGCAGCAGCGCCCAGGGCATAAACTATTCTCCAGGGACAACCTCAACTGGCAGATTATTTTTTATTTTAAAAAATTGCCTTTCTTTATGCTTTTCTCTCTCCTTTTTTTAATAGACGTAGAATTGCAGCAGAACCTCTTTATGTTGGCTATTGTGAATTGTGAAGTGCCCAAATGGAGCAGAATGGGGAAGAAACCATTATAGCTGATGTTTGCACTGTGATCAACTTAATTTTGAAATTATGTAAATTGAAATACGAAGTATGAATTTTTACAAATAAAATATATCTTTGTAAAAATACTTAGAGTCTTTGTCTTTTAGTTTTCATATTAGCTTTGACTTTTTTTTGTTTGTTTATTTTTTTTTGTTTTGCCAGAACTGTTGGTTTTATTCTGTTTTTCCTAGCTTAACTCTGGAGGGTGTGCCCAGATCCCAGAAGAAAGAACGATGCATGACATGTGGGTGTCTTCTGTACAACTGCTCCCTCCCAGGATGCAGAAGGCATCTCTGGTGTCACTGGAGGGGTGAGATCATAATATGGACACTGTCCTAGACCAGAGGGATTGTCTAATACACATTCTCTTTCCAGACCTTTTTTCTCCAAGCTGTGCTGTGTGTCTCCTCCTAGGACTAGAGGTTCTTTAGGCTCCGAGATGATGGACCACATAGAGCTCTCTGATCTGGGAGAAGAATCTGTCTATAGCTTCCTGGTTCTCCTGCTGGAATTTGGCTCAGGTTGTTATTTCCTCCCTTAATCATAGTCCCTGACTTCAGCTTGTAAGTCTTCAGCTTATGATCATTGTGAGGCACTCATGAGGCTGGGGTTTATTCCAGAAGCTGAATTCCAAAAATAACTAGTTCCTCCAAGACAGCAGCATTTTCCTCCTCTCCTTCCAGAACTCCAGATACTCCTTGTTTTCTTTGAGTTTGTTCAAGCAGTCCAATGTAGGTAGGGTAGCCCCCTAAGAAACATTGCAGGTACACTGCCTGGTCCTGCTCCCCATACCAGGCATTCCAGTTTCCCCCACAGCACAGGGGGAGATCATGTCCAGTGAAAATTGAGGAGAAGGTGCTCTGTCAAACTGTTAGCCATCTAGTCACTGGGGCTTGGCATTATGAAATTGGATCTCATACAGGTTGCTGATCTCCACATTTCCCTTTTTGACAGGACATGTCAGTGGATCAGGGCAATCCTGTAGCTAGAGTTCCATTTTGGTAAAGCATCTGACAAAATTTCTTGTGCTATTCTCTCAACTGTTGCATTTAATGGTCTTTCCTCAATCCTCATCTTTTTTTCAGTTCAATTCAATAAACATTTGCCTGGCACTGTGTTAAGTGCTAGGAGTACAAATAAGAAAAAGAATTACAATCTCTGACCTCAAGAGGTTTACAGTCTAATGGGGGAAGGAGAGGGGGGAGGGGAGGGAGGGGAGGGAGAGGAAGGAAACCACCAGGGAGTACAATGTTTCATGGAGTCAAAACCAAGCAAAGCTGCTGATAGAAAATGGAGAATTACCTGGACTAGCTCTAACTTTTACAGACTAAGCAAGGACCTGAAGACTTATCCCCTTATGGTTATGGGTGGCATTTCATGACTCATGGAGGACTCTTAGGGCTCAGCGAAAGGGCTTGGAAAGTTTAGATAAGATATACATTCAGGCAAGGAAGAAGGAGATGGGAAAAGCAGGAATAGGTGGTTGGTCTGTAGAAAGGCCTTCCTCAGTCAAGCATTCTCATTCAAAAGTACAAATATCTCAGAAACTCACAAGGCTATCGGTTATTCAAATGTCAGTCTTAATTGGCCAACCCACTTTAATATACACCTGAGAATCCGATCCTCTGAGAAAATGAAGTCTTGATGGGATGTAGATAATTTTGGAGCATGAAGCACTTTGACAGGCAAGGGAATTTGGAGATAAACCAAAATTTGCCTTGAGCCCAGTACAAGATGGAGGAACAATCCCTTTCACAGCACGGCCCCCATGCCAAAATTTGGGCTTTTACTATATGTGAGCTGTATGAAGCAATTAAATACATGGGTTTTTTTTTTCAGGGTTAGGAGGACTTTATTGAATGGTGTTTCAGTTTTACAGTCTTTGCTGTGGGGTTGGAGAACACCCCACTGCTGCCCCCATTCTCCCAGATTTGGCTTCTCGGAGGTGCTTGCCAAGAGTGCCTGTCCTCTAGGAACATTGTCAGGGAAGTCGGTATTGGAATCTGTTGGGGGGCAAGAGGAGCAATAAATTCCTCCTCTCCCTTTGGTCATCCAACTGGACTTTCCTTTCTCTGCTTTCAGCCCCTCTTACTCTGCGTGCCCACCTTATCCTCACAAGAAGACTGAGTTGGGGGACGGGGAGTGAGAAGGAAGGGGCATTGCCATGTGCCAAAGGAGAAGTGAGGAAAAAACAAGGAAAGGGGGAGAAAGGTGTACCTAGGCAGTGTGTCCCAGTGTGTTGTTGCTATGATCTGCCCTCAGTGTCCTGAGAGTTTACCATGATCTTTGTTCCTAATACCCCAATCTTGATCTCAACACCCCCAAAACTACTCTGCTGGGAAATGAGTCACTCGTGCTCACCCAAGAAACCAGAAACCCTGAATTCCTTCCCCAGCAAGTCCCATGTTGGTCAGGGTCTGAAGACACAATGGGAAGAGGGAAGGCAGGCATAGCTGGGGAACCACTGTGGGCTTTCTTCATCCCCATCCAACCAGCCTCTAGAAACTAGGAATTTGTGGGTCCCTCCTTCCTCTGATTTTGTTACATATGCAGATAAGCTTTCCTGCTGTTCTCAGCTGGGGAGTCCTGACCCCAACCCTGGCAGAAGTTCCCCCTTCCCACACTCCCTGGTGTCAGGGGGACACAATAGCCCACGGCTCCTGGAGATGCCTCCAGTTTCCTGACCCAGCAGCTCTGGGGAGGGCCGAAAAGCAGAAGTGGGGGCCCAAGTTCCAGTGAAACACGAAGCAGGCAGGAGTAGAGTTACAGCAGTAATATTGGAACAGAGGCATATCCTTGCATATCCTGCCTGAAGGAGCAGGGCTCCATTTCTGCCTTCTCTGCAGGCCTCTTTTTTTGTTCCTGACCTGTTCTGCTCCCCCACCCTAACGTGGAGTAACAGAGGGGGAAGGGGAATAGAAGGGGGGCAGAGGTCTGGGGACAACCCTCCTGACACTCAACTCAAACCAACACACCGCCTCTGGGGGATTGAGGGTGGGAGCTGAGTCTTCCTCTCCTCCCCGCATAGCCTTGGGCATCCGACAGAGTCAATGTACTAAGTATAACATGACAGCTCACATT